ACTAAAATACCCCCCCCCCTCTTGCATTCGCATGTAGTCATACATATGAGTCTCAAAATACTATAATATATTGTTAAATTATGCTCTTTTCAACTCTATACCCATGACTGGTGTACCAAGTTAAATCCACATCAAAACCCAATTGTCGATAAGTGAATTTATAATAATCACTTGAACATCCTTGGAGAATTATATCTATTTAGTGAATATTAATACCAAAGAAAGAAAACAACTCTAAATTCTGAATATAAAGTCATCAAATTCTTTTACAGATCTTATTGTGGAAACCCAAAAGTTATATGTCACCATTGCCTTTTTAATCACATTTTTGTTTTTAATGTCAAATACCAAACCATCTCTAATATTGTTTCATTATATAGAATGCAGTGTAATCCTAAACACTAAAGATTTGGCCTGAAAATTTGAAATAATATAGAGGGATCATCAATAATTAATAGTAACATTCGATAATTATAAAAATGTATTATTGTAGGATGAAATCAACCTTTATTTTTAAACATTTAGTGAACATTTCGAATGTTAATGCCTCTTTTATATAAAATGGTTTTATTAATTAATCAATTTTTGTTTTACAAATTTTTAATTTTCTCCATTTTGTTTGATTTTTATGCTATATTTATTTTATCTATCTATAATTATTTGCCTGTGCTTTATCTATTAGTTCCCATTTATATACTGTAGAAAATTTTGAATTCCTAATCTGTTAAAGGGACTATTTTTTCTTAAAAGTATTTCAATTTAGTGCATTATTAATGTCTTTAGTGCTTGGTTTGGTTGATATTAAATTTAGATATATTTAAAATGTATGTTTTGGGACCATTGGGTAGGGATATTGTGAACATATATATTATATTCTCAGTTCTTTTTAAGGTTAATTGTAAAAAAAAATTAAATAGCTGTTTTTGAGGGGTGGGGGGATATTGTTATTATTGAACACAATTTTATTAGTATTGAAATTAACTTTTTTGATTAATATTCCAAATGTCTCGGTGCTTTATTTTTCAATTTAAATAGCTACTTTTTATTTAATAATTGGGAATGGGGGGTGGGTATTTTTTCATTGTATAACACAATTTTATTAGTATTGGAATTAACTTTGTTTATTAACCTTCGAGATGTCTGTATTGGTATTAATTAGGCATTAATTTATTTTTTCATATCATTTATTGAATAAATAATAATTTAACAAACAAAATTATTATGTCATTTATCAATAATTACAGTTTAAACAGAACGAATGGAAGGGGTTGCATTCGAAAGGTTGTTATACTGGATATAAATTGGTAAAATACAACACAAGTTTTTGTTATACACAAGTTTGTACGAAACAACACGAGTTTCAGAAATTTCAACACAAGTTTCAGAAATTTCAACACAAGTTTCAGAAATTTCAACACAAACAAGTTTCAGAAATTTCAACACAAATAATGTGTAGATTTTCACACAAGTTTTGTGTTGTTTCAACATTTAACACAAGTTTTGTGTTGTTTCAACATTTAACACAAGTTTTGTGTTGTTTCAACATTTAACACAAGATTGTGTTGTTAAATAGAGACACCTAACTTGTGTTGAAAATAACACAAGTTTGTGTTGTTTCAACACAAGTTTTTTTTCAGTGTATTTAGCCTCCTACACACTAAGTTTATACTAAGAGATATACCACTGTAACCAGGGTACCACTGTAACCAGGGTACCATTTAATCTTGTGTATTTAGCCTCTTAATTTCTTTCACATTCATTTTATAAAATCTCTGTTTGAAAATTCATAAAAATCATCTAGGGAAATTAGATGTTTGTAATTGAACACAAATTTTAACAGCCAGTTTTAAACTATAGTAAACTAAAAAATTAGATGATTTGAGGTGAAAATTTTTGAACAGGGATTTGATATTTAATAAATGGGAAAGAAATTAGAGCTAAATATACAACATTATGATACTCGGGTTACAGTGTATATATATAATGTGAAGCTAGGCATTTACTGTTTAAACGAAATGAAGTTAGCTTGAATCATGGTAACAAGGTCGATTGTGGTGTACAAGACAAAATCAATTTCTGGGTACATGTCCGACATTCCTTGTAATTATCATATAGAGAACAATTACTGGATACTCTAAGCCAACTCTTATTAAGAGTAGGTTTCGTTGGTCCTGGGGTGGGGCGGGGGGTGAGATACATGACCTGGAAGTAGGACCTAGAATGAAGAGATGCACGATCTGGAACTGGAAGTGAGGCGGATAAGGGTGAATTAAATGATCTGGAATCATGGACTACTATAGTCTTTCAGATGGGACAACAAATCTTGGAGTGCACGTACAAGAACCCTTGATAGGTGTAATTCGTCAGAATTTATACTTACTGCTATCAATTTTTGACTTTCGACTATCTGCTTCTGACTTTCTACTCCAATAGCATGGTAGCTGATGTGGCCATATTGTTGTTTATTACTGATTTAACGTCTAATACAATAAATGTGTATTATGAACAGGTTGAAAAATTGATAAAAACACAAAATAAACAATAAACTGTTGCTTTTTGTTTATTACAGATTTAACATCCAATAAATAAATATGATATTATGGACCGGTTCATTTAATTAAATTATTTACACTGAAAGGGTTGAAAAATTGGTAAAAACACAAAAAAACCAAACGTCCTTGTAAATCAAAAGGTCACCTAAAACACACTTTTAAAATCGATGTCGTGACAAGAGAGGGCAGGTCATCTTCTCACTTTGTTATAATAGAAAATAATGTTCGCCCCTTTTCTATAACCAGACACCATTTTAAGGCAGTAGTAGGGCAAGCATACGACAAAGTACACTTGGATAATTCACTGGTCCGTATCGCGTGTGACGTCATCACTGTGTGTGTATGTGTATTTCTCATACGTGATACGGACACACGGATACGGCAGCACGTATCGAACAGCTTTCATAAGGAAAAGGTCCGTACAACATCGTTGTCTTTTTACCGTCTATTTTGCTACTTTTAGACCCTGAAATGTTGTGCCATATTTTTTGTATAAATCTATGTGTATCCTAGAACACGAAGGTGTAGATTTGATGTGATCTTGACCATGATAAAGACGGGAATTTAACCATTATTTTTGATGAGTTTTTCTCGGAATTTCATACTTTTCCTGTCTGTCTGTCTGCATGCTGGTTGATCTACGCACTAAATTTAGGGAAATGGGACCCTTTAAATGTGTAAATGATATGATTCTGTGGTAAAGGGGTATAAACTTTCTGAAATGATACATTAGTGAAACCAAACATTGCTGTCGACTCGAAGTCAAAGATTTTTTAATATGATTCGACATTAATTGTTTTTAATAGCTCAGCTCACTCCCTCCAGTAATTTGTAGGCTAGGCAATTGACTAGTACTGATGTTGATCTTGGTAGATAACTGTCATCATGCTGTAATAGAACTAAGCTCAGCTCAGATACTGTTATCGTATATTGCAACGCATACAAATACATAATTAATTACCTGGTTTTAAAAGCAAATTATTTCATAATGGGACCGCTCACTATAGCGTAAAGATGGCAAGTTATTGGATTGAGGAATGCTGGAATGTCAGTGAAAAGATTGCACTAGAGTTGGGCCCCCATCCCTCGACCATTAGGTGATGATTGCGAAAACGTCAGCATACTAATGGTATAAAGGACCGACAACGGTCTGGTAGAGCCCGCATTACGTCTGGTAGAGCCCGCATTACGTCTGGTAGACCCCGCATTACTTCTGGTAGACCCCGCAGTACGTCTACAAGAGAAGATGCATGTTTTGATTTGGAGACTATATTGATAAGGGAATGGTTACCTCACCGCCGACTATCCTACTGCGGGGGACGGGGGTGGGGTGGCGAACGGATGACTCGTGCGCGTTGCATGTTCTGTCATTGAGTCAAGTTTTCATTCCCCGCATGTACGTGACAAAGTTAGGATCGACTGTATCATCTCGAGGGTTTTCTCCGGGTCCTCCGGTTTCCTCCCACTGCTAAAGACGCAAATTTATGTCATAAAATGTTAATCCCGAAATGACCTTGTTTGTGTCGAGTTGATGCTAAACTCTCTCACTCACTGTCTGGGTAAAACGTCCCTCATAACAGACTGCATGGCGTATTCTGATCGTCATTAGCCTAGTAAGTGCAGAAAAGTAAGACGATACATCCTATGTTAGTCCTGAAATGAAATAGTTTGTGTCGAGTGGACGTTAATACCACCCCCCTCTCTCTATCTCCTTTCCCTCTCTCTGTCTCTGTCTCTCTCTCTCCCAGACTGAAGGACAGTTGTTTACACCTGCTTATTATTTTGTAAATCAGCCCTCATTAATTACTTGCACATTGTCTTGTACAATAGGTTTATTTTTCATTACAAAATGGCATCCAAAATCATACAATACACCACTCGTGTACTAGTTTTTAAAATGTGTCTTAAAGATTGTATATTAGGATCCTATATTTTCCCGGCAAGATAATAACATCGATGTTAAATGAAATGTGCCAATATTGAATTCTAATTAGTATTTTTAATTTCGAATATTATGGATAATATTGCGTCAGAGGTTTAGCTCCTTTAATTGTAGAAAAATGTACTTTTACTAATCAGTAAATCTTTTTTAATAACGCAACACGACTTAAAACAAAAATCAAACAGAATCATATGAAAAGCAGAATGAGGGAATATCTATTATTCATTGTAATAAGATAACGCATGAAAGATCAAGCTAACCATTTATATAGCGCTATTCCACATGACCTAAGCATTATCAAGTTATTTTGTGGAGCCTAAAGGGATACATTTACGTATTCTACCAATATTTCTTACATTACAATAACACAATTTACATATATAATTTATTTGAGCTTCCATGTTCATATTCATATCAAATATTACACCAATGTTTCGTGCATTAATGTTACCAATTAAGAAGGAAGATTTACAATACATTTCTGACAATTGTTTATTTGAGCCAATTAATAAATATTCAGTTTCATCATCATTTAATTTTAAAAAGTTTTTTGGCATCCACAATTTAATTCAAAATATACATTCTTCAATAACAACTTTTAAACTGACATACGAATCTGGATGTTTAGGTGAAAAAGAAATATATAATTAGGTGTCATATGCGTATAGATGAAATTGTATAACGTGAATACAATAGGACCAAGGACAGAACCAAGGACAGATTGTTGGCTGGGGGTGGGGGCGATTCTTTGCCCTTCATCACCCTACAAGAGTAAAGTATTTCTCGGGTATCAAGTCTTTCATGACGACATAATCTTGTAGAAATTTTGGTAACCCAACTTGAGATATTTTATTGCTGATTCCTGGTCCGATAGAGTTTCTGATTTCTCTTCTACATCTTGACTTCAAACTTCGTGATTTACAGAAGTCACGGAAATCAACGAGTTCTTTATTCCGCGTACTTTTTGATCCGCTCAGCACCACATCATATGTTGAACGAGAAAAAATAACGTTCTTTGGTGCGCCACTTTCAAAAAGAATTTTGAAAAGCATCAACGTATCTGGAAACCGGAATTTATATTTGACCAATCGAAGATTCAAACTTTTAAGAGAACAGTTCTCTGTAACGAGATACCATATGAGGTCTTCTTTGTTCTTTTTCAGTAACCATTGTAATAACGTGTTTCCATTTTCTCCCGGAGTATCAAGAGACGCGTGACATTTATTGATTAAAAGTAATTTTAGACATTTGATCCATTTCCGACACCTACAAGCAACAATTATACCATGTATAGCTGATCGTCCACCTGTATCAGTTTTATTAACATCAGCTCCAGCATCTAGTAAACTTTCTAAAATAGGTCTATTACAGTTTCTTGCTGCTGCCATTACAGCCGTCGTTCCATTATCATCACTCAAATTAACATCAGCTCCAGATTTCAGTAAATCATTTACAATATTCCTGTTATTAAACCCGACTGCAATCATTAATGCCGTATTTCCATCATTATCAGCATGGTTTACAGATGCACCAGATTTCAGCAAATTTTCACAATGCATCCCTTTTTGGTTTTCAAATTCTAATATCAATGCTGTTTTGCCATTGTTATCACTCAGGTTAACATCGGTGCCAGCCTTCAATAAAACCTTTACCATATTCGTGTTATTCATTTTGACGGCAATCAGCAAGGCTGTGTTTCCACTGTTATCAACTTGGTTTACAGATGCACCAGATTTCATCCATGCTTCACAATGACCATATCTTTGTTTCTCCACTGCCACCATCAACGCTGTTTTGCCATTGACATCACAAATATTACAGTCTGCACCATTCTGTAACTGAAGTGATAAAATAGTTTCATCCTGGTTGTCTACAGCAAACATCAACGCCGTCTTACCACGATGATCTTGCAGGTTGATATTACAGCCAGCTCTGAGTAGTGTTTCTACCATAGGTTTAGGTCCTCTTTCTGCTGCCGCCATTAAAGATGTTTTTCCTTCGTCATATGTAGCATCATCTGCTTCACTTCTCAAATCTGAATATTTGAGTAAAACATCTAAATCCAGTGAAACTTTCAAGAGTATTGCAAGGAATATCGCATTTCTACCCAATACATCTTTTGGTTTCAGATCGGCACCAGCTTTTAGTAAAACATTTGCTATAATATTATCCTTGTTGGTAACTGCCATCATCAGATGTGTCTCCATTAGCTACTGCTATGGACAAGGCCGTTTGTCCATTGACGTCACTAATATTCACGTTTATTCCATTCTGTATTAGTAACGTATTTATTATTTTCTCCCTGTCTTGATTATAAGCAGAATATCTTGACACTTGTATAGCTTTGTGCAACGCTGTCTCTCCTTTTAGATTTTGGTGATTTATATCACAATCTGTTGATGTCAGCAATGTCACTAGTTCTAATTTACCTTTTTCAGAGGAAAGAGCGAGGGGATTATCGCCATTTTGGTCCACCATATTGACATCGATGCCGTGTTCAATAAGAATTGGAGCCGTGTCATAATATCCTCGATTCATTGCTCTATACAACAGATTATCACATTTATGAATATCAGCCCCAGCCTCTATCATCATCTTAACAATATCTGCTGAAGTAGATTGGTCGTTCGGATAGTGGTAAGAACGAAATAAATAGTCCAATACAAAACATCCTTTGTTATCTTTAACGTTGACAGATGCACCGCGGTCAATAAGTTGTTTAACTAAAACAAGATTATCCATCTCCACGCATTCCATTAAAGGTGTAACGCCGTATTTATCAGTGGTGTTAACATCACACCCAGCTTTAATCAGTAAATCAGTGATAGTCGTCATCCGTCTTCTTATAGACCGAAGTAAAGGTGTAGCACCGTCTTTGTCAGTGCTGTTAACATCACACCCAGCTTTAATCAGTATTTCAGCGATAGTCGTCTGTTCTCCTCTTACTGACTCCAGTAAAGGTGTTACACCATTTTTATCAGCGATGTTAACATCACATCCAGCAGCATTAATCAGTATTTCAGCGATAGTCGTCTTCCGTCTTCTTATAGACTCCAGTAAGACGGGTGTAATATTGACATCACAATGTGATTTAATTAACGACTTCACCATCTGTTCATTGCTGTATATAGTTGCTAAATACAGTGGAGTTTCATTCCATGAGTTCAGCTGGTTTATGTCCATACCATGGGTTATTAATAGCTGGACACATTCATCATATGAATCTACCCATATCCTACTCCCTGCAAGACAATGAAGAAGGGAACCTTGATGGGTTCTAATATCAAGGTTTGCTCCTCTTTGTGCCAAATATATTACCGTTGTCACCATACCACATTCAGCAGCCAGTTGGATGGGCGTTTTCCCATCCATATCTTGTAGATTAACATCCGCTCCTGCCTGCACCAATAATTTTACACAATCATTAATTCCCCCCGTATTAATTCCCTCACTAAAAATCCTTTCCATCAAATTGTTCCTATCACCTATACAACAGTGTAGGACAGAATATTTATTTATAACCGACTGTGGGTTAATAGTATTTATCAGTTCACTCTTCAACAAAATCTCCAAAATTTCGATGTTTAGTTTATGGCAACATAACATTAATAACGTTTCCTTTTCGTTGGGGTTTATATCTATATTTTTGAGTTCAAGAAGATGTTTTAATATCTCGGCGTTATTGTTTAGAACGCACTCGTTGAGGGCAAAACGCAAAGGTATTCCTTTAGAGTGGAGAAATTTAACACCCTCTATGAAATTAGATTTTATTGCAGCCTTCATCAATTGTATATTGGTCTTAACATCTACAAAATTGTTTGCAATACTCTCTGGGGGAAGCAATAATTCCACCATAGGTAGACATCTGTTCTTAAGAGCAGCTTTACATTGTTCTACCCAAATCCAGTGTTGTTCACAACTGTCATATAACGCCACACAGTCATGTATAAGTCTTTCTACAGCAGCTGCATCATTTGTATTGACAGCCTTTGTTAACCTGAAATAACAAAATAAAATTAGTTTTAAAGCTGACACGGACAATACATAGAAAAATGATCGATGCGTCTTTTCTTTTTGAATTCGTGAACATATAGGTTACCAGTAATCGACCTGTACGTCCACCAACAACTGTGTCGTCCTATGTGATATTGAATTGAATTCTTTAAGAAGGCTACATGTCTCGTGACCATCAACTTCACACTGCCAAACTCTAGAACGTCCAAAAGCGGACGGGGTGACGACATTATGAACCACATTTCAATGTACGGGTTAAGCCAAGGCCGCCTCGCTCTACTCTACCTGTACGTGTGTACATTATATAGTCCACATGTACAATGATCACAGGTATACATATAGATATGTATAAAATGAACATGTACAATAATGATATACGTATAATATAATACACTCGACATAAATAGGTACATTAATCCTTATATCAGTGGGAGAAGGGCCTCTAAATACAATAACCACAATCCATGACCTATTCAACTCTAAACTGCGAATTTGTCCCAGAATACCTAACAGATCTCTTAATCCCATATACTCCACCAAGAACCCTGTGACCATCCACAAGTAACCTGCTTGTTAAAGCAATAAATAAGACAACCACAGGAACAAGAGCCTTTGACTCCACTGCTCTAAATAATGGAACATTTTAAGTAAATCCCTGAAAAAATGCAGCATTATTAACTACGTTTCGAAAACACAATAAAGCCTTTCGTTTCCCGGGAATCTGCAAGTGTTGATTTATATATGTGTGCTACAATCCCTTATCTCTGTGTATAAAATGTATTATTTTATTATTATTATTTTTAGATTTTACAAATTGTGTTTGTAAAACGCCACTGAGCAACACTTGTGTTGGAAATTCGGCGCTATATAATTATAAGGTTATACATCCGATCATAACCGGAACAACCGGGCTGAATATAGGCTCTTTTTAGATCAGGGCCATAGCAACCTACGACGACATCCAAACAACCGACTGCGGAATTATTAACTGAGCAGGAGGCGTACACCCAATGGATTTCATCAAGGGGAATTCCAATAGGGGGAAAATGAACAAAAGAAATACCAACCGTGGGTCAGATATCAATCGAAAAGGAGAAAATAAATCCTAAAATTATTAATATTTCTTACCATAGATTTACGGAAATTGAAATTCTGCTATTAAAAACTTGATTAAAATTCACACCTACACCTAAAACCAATATGTTTAAAGTCAAATGTGATATTAAAACTTTCTGTCTAAAACTACGATTACGGGATGAATTCGGGGATTTAGATTATTTTAATGCGAAACAAAAGTTGTTATGGCCACGTATCGGAAAGGATAAAACTTTAGAAAACCTTAGGTGAAAGTGGACGTAAAACCGTACGAACGAAAGAACGACAGTTAGGCAGACGAGCGGAGACGGAGAGACCGACGTATGGACTCACTCGAGTTCAACCGCTGCCTTGGCAGAGGGGCAGAATGGTGGATTTAATATAGTTATATGTGTTCCTGTATTTTAGTTTAATTTCCCGTATTGTTGTTGTATGTATATAACTGTATATGTTTTATATACCCGATGTAAATAAATAATATATTTACTAAACTGGTCTACTGTTATCACTAAGATAGTGTGACAGTGATCCGTTATGGATACCGTGACTGTGAACCTGGAACCTACTAATCGCCACGACAGTGTGAAGTCATTTACCCATGATCACGGGCCAATGATTGCAAATATACAGTATGGAAATTCTCGATTCAATGGTGGAAATGGAGAAAATCACCAAATACGGGGAAATCACAAAAAAAGACTTACGCACCGATGGCGGTGGAACAGCGGGGAACAGAAAATGTGTGTGATTGTTGTTTTACGGTGAGTCATTTTGTTTTTAAAAGAATGTAAATTATAATTGTTTGTTTTTGAACACATATTTTGGCTTTTAAAATGAATAGTAACAAATTATTAAGAGGTTTATATTTAAAAGTAAAATATTTTGTGATTGTTTGACTGGAATTGAGTTAAGATCCTAATTAGGAAGTTCTTGAGTAGACGGTTAAATAGATATTTCATCGCCCTTCGCTGTATATGCGATGAAGGTATTAACATTCATATAGTATTAGCGGTTTTACCTCCTATGTTTTTTTATTTTATTTTTTTGTCTGTGTTTTCTATATACCCCGATGTAACGGGAAAGTTTTTAAAGAGTTTTGCCTCGTAAATTCGGTATACCTTCAAGGAAGTAGTGTCGCGCTTAAATTAGAAGCGAATGTGGTGTTTTGTTTTGTGTATTGTTCCAAACTTAGCGAGATAAACCGTTGTTAGTTGTGATAAGTTCTTGAAAAATATCTTATTTAAGATTGGTAAAATGTGTTCAAATCATTCATTGTCATTTATCTCAAGTAAAAAACAATATGACAAAATCCTATGTTAATTTATTTTCTATATATGTATCATTTGTATTTTGATTATATGAATTCCCTTTTAGAAAAGTTTACAAAACAAATGTTTATATCGTGTGTGCTGTTATGCTATCGTGTGTGGTGTTACTTTATTTTGTATATTATATTATCTTATGTGAAGCCAGTGTCCCACCTGTGAGAGTGGTGTTAGTTTGTTATTTATTTTACTAAATAACTTGTGGGTAGGATAGGAATGTGACAAAGTACTCTATAACTTTCATCAAATTGAACGATCATTTAGGTGCTTAGAACTTTATGACCTCTGCTGGTTTTTGATAATATATGATATTGACGTTTCAACTCTGTATAAACTTCTGTTAAGACACTAACTGGCTATGATCTAAGTAAACATGTAATTGATTCAATATATCATTTACGGGCTGTACATAATCTGTGTGCAACACTCGGCAGGACTTCAAAGGGAATGTACTAGTGGTCAGTGCATCATACCATGACCTGTTAATGATTTCAAAGGAATTAGGCAGTACAATTACAGATACCATAATCTGATAAATAAACAATACCATATAATATTATGATGATCACTCTTAACCATTTCCCTAACTGTCGTACGCTATATAAGCAGGAGTTTGCTGACAGTTAGGCAGTACTCGTACTGACAACACCTAAGTGTACCAGAGCTCCAAAGCGATTGCTGAGTTTATCATAGATAAAGTAGCCTAGC